TGGGTTCCATGAACAAGACCTAGCAGCTTAGAAAGTGTGTGAGTGTAGACCTCCCCACCTGTGCCCCAGCCCCCAGCAAAGATGCCCCCTGGTTGCAGCCATGTATGTCTTCCATAGTCTTTGGAGACATTAAGGTTTCCAGCAGCTGCACTGTCTGATAAGCTTTGAGCCACATATGGCTCTTTACATTGAAATCAATCAAAGTTAAATAAAATTTAAAATTTACTTCCTCCTTGACAATAACCACATTTCAGGTGCTCAACTGCCACATGTGTCTAGTGGCTATAATACGGGATAGTGCAGATATGAAACATTTCCATCATCACAGGAAGTTCTAGACAGTGATGACTTAGAGGAATAGCCACTGTTCTACACAGAACTAGAAGTTTCTTTCTCTGTTTCTTTCTGATCCTCCATAAGCAGTAAGAGTGATAGCAGGTGCCATACTGCTAAGTACTATAAGCTTTACCTCCTTTAATCATTGCAGATATTATTGACCCTATTTAACAGATGAGTAATGAGTCTGAGACAGATGAAGTGTTCAAAGTGACACAGCTTATAACCAGCAAAGCCAGAACTTGAACCCAGTTCCTCCCAGTCCACAGCCACATCCTTAACCAGCATGCTACACTGCTCATGCAACCCCAGCACACAGGTGGATCTAGGTTGAACAGATCTGTGGCAACAAACCAAGTATTTCCCTCAGACCTGGTTATCACTGATGGATTGTGGATTGAGAATCAAACTAAATCTACTTCTGATTTTGCTCCTGGGTGATGGGAAGTAAAGAAGTTCAACTTGGATGTTTCTCATGGTCCCATATTAAAAATATCCTTCCTGGGTGGATCACTCAAGGCCAGGAGTTTGAGACCAGCCTGGCCAACATGGCAAAACACTGTCTTTACTAAAAATAAAAAATGAAAAGAAAAGTAGCTGAGTGTGGTAGTAGGTACCTATAATCCCAGCTACTAGGGAGGCTGAGGCAGAAGAATCACTTGAACTTGGGAGGTAAGGGTTGCAGTGAGCCAAGATCATGCCACTGCATTCCAACCTGGGTGACAAAGCAAGACTCCATCTCTAAATAAATAAATAATAAAAATTGTATGTGCTTATCACACAGGGCTCCAAAATTAAGTTTCTGTTGGCAAAACACTTCAACTGCGTTGTTTAAACAAAGGTGTTAATAGATTAAGAAAAAAGAATGATGGTAAAAGAAACTTGCCCTGCAAATTCACACAAGATGAACCATGTGATCGTGTCCAAGTTGCCTAGGTAATTGTACCTGTAATTTTTGTACATTTACTTCATTCAGCAGGAGATGTTGGGTTACTTGCTCCATAGCCTCTGGCTTAGATTGAGTATCTTAACCAGTTTCTCCTACCTCTGTTTTATAAAAGGAAGAATCTCCTGTAATCCTGGCACTTTGGGAGGCCAAGGCAGGCAGATCACCTGGGGTCAGGAGTTTGAAACCAGCCTAGCCAACATGGTAAAACCCCATCTCTACTAAAAGTACAAAATTTAGCTGGGCATAGTGGTGCACACCTGTAGTCCCAGTTATGCGGTAGGCTGAGGCGGGAGAATAGCTTGAACCTGGGAGGTAGAGGTTGTAGTGAGCCGAGATCACTCCAGCCTGGGTGACAGAGCAAGACTCCATCTCAAAAAAATAAAATAAATAAATAAATAAAGGCTCTTGGCAGCCCGTAAGTCACACCTAGTTTCAAATTCCAGCTGTACTATGTGCTTATGGTGGGACCTTGGGAAACTTACGTAACCTCTCTGGTTTCAGCTTTTTCATCAGTAAAATGGGGGCTTTTAATGTCTGCTGAAATTAAATTAAATAACTTCTGCCCAAGTACCTGGAATGTTTTAGAGGCTCCAGATACATTAACCTCCCTTCTCTGCTGAATCCTCATGTATGGTCATGTGATATAGGATCAGGAGTTTCAGAGCTGAAAGGGAACTGAGTGACACTTGGAGCAGCACTCTCAACAGACGATACTTCTGTTTATGATCGTGTAGGTAACCATTGACTTAGGAAATGCCTGTAATCAAGAGCCACTCTGGGTATGTTTTGGTGACATTTTAGCAAAGGTAAAACAGAATGTTCCCTCTTACGAATGCAAACCTCTCCAGGCAGAAGAGCGGAAGTGGCTTTGACGTGGGCCACAGGGACTGCGTGAAACACAGCAGGCAGGGGATCTGGGTGGCCCAGAGGAAGCTGCTGGAGGGGCCACTTGGGCTTAGGCTCTCAGAGCTTGGACTGTGGCTTCTGGTTCATCCCAGATGACTGTCATTGGGGGCCAGATTGGGGATGGAGGAGTCCCCAAAGCTGGGAACATAGAACAGTAGGCAAGACAAAGGCCAGTCTTAATGTCCGGGACCCAAATCAATATGGGCCACAGGGCAAGCTGCACTACCCAGTTAGGGAACAGACAGAGGCCACTTTCAGAGTCAAATCGGATAGGAGAGCCAAATGGAGAAAGACTTTTAGGAAGCAGGAGGGCAGGACTCAGAGAGGAGAATAACTCAGAGAGTAAGACAGGTCTGATGAGGCCATCTGGATGTTAGTGCCAACTCCTATCTCCATCTCAGACGGTGGCCAGCCTGTGGGCCTAGCTGAGATCACCTCATCCTGAACCTGTTAAGAGTTCAGGAGTGGGGAGCCAGGAAAAGTTAGTGGGCAAGAAGTCAGATTCTGGCCGGGCGTGGTGGCTCATACCTGTAATCCCAGCACTTTGGGAGGTCGAGGCAAGAAGATCACTTGAGTCTGGGAGTTTGAGACCAACCTGAGCAACACGGTGAGACTCTGTCTCTATAAAAAATTTAACACATTGCTAGGCATGGTGGTATGCTTCGGTAGCCCCAGCTACTGGAAAAGCAGAGGTGGGAGGATCACTCGAGCCTAGGAGGTCAAGGCTGCAGTGAGCTATGATCATGCCACTGCACTCCGGCCTGGGTGACCGAGTTTAGACTGTCACCAAAAAAAAGTCAGGCTTTAGCATCCAGTGCAAGCCTAGGTTTGAATCTGTCATCACTGGTTGTGTGACTTAGGCTAGTAACTTAACCGCTCTGAACTATAGTTTCCTCATGTGATGATGATTGTGAGAATGATGCTGGTGGTCATGAAGATGCTGGTGTGGTCATGCTGCAGAGGAGGAGGAAGATGATGGTGATGATGGTGATGCTGACTGATGGTGATGATGATGGTGCTGATAGTCAAGATTAGGATGTGATGAAGTTGGTGATGATTATGATGAGGGTGATTGATTATGGTGGAGGCTGATGAGGAAAGCTAGATGATGATAATTACAATAATGATGATAACAATGAGAATCATGGTGGCTGTGGTGATGATTTTGGTAGTGGTGGTGATAAAAATGGTGAGGCCAGGCACGGTGGCTCACGCCTGTCATCCCAGCACTTTGGGAGGGCGAGGCAGGCAGATCATGAAGTTGAGAGATTGAGACCATCCTGGCCAACATAGTGAAACTCCATCCCTACCAAAATACCAAAAAAAAAAAAAAAAAAAATAGCTGGGCATGGTGTAATCCCATCTACTTGGGAGACTGAGGCAAGAGAATTGCTTGAACCTCTTCAAGGTGGAGGTTGCAGTGAGCCGAGATTGCACCACTGCACTCCAGCCTGGCACCTGGCGACAGAGCAAAACTCTGTCTCAAAAAATATAAAATGATGGTGATGGTGGTGGTGGTGGTGGTGATGATGATGATGATGATGATGATGATGATAGTGACAGCCCCTCCTTTAGAATGGGTGTGATGAATGGGCTGGAATACTAGGATTTGCCACTATGTGACCTTGAGCAACTTAGATTCCCTCTGTCTCCCTTACCCCAACCATAAAGTGGTGATTAACAGTCATTCCTGGACAGGTTCAGTGGCTCATACCTATGATTCCAGCACTTTTGGTGGCTGGGGTGGGAGGATCACTTGAGCCAAGGAGTTCGAGACCAGCCTGGCAACATAGTGAGACCCCGTCTCTACAAAAAATAAAAAAGTTAGCCAGACATAGTGTTACACCCTTGTTGTCCCAGCTCCTCAGGAGGCTGAGGAAGGAGGCTCACTTCAGCCCAGGAGATCAAGGCTGCAGCGAGTTGTGATTATGCCACTGTATTCCAGCTGGGATGATGGGACAAGTCTGGGGAAAAAAAAAAAAAAAAGTCATTCCTGCCTCAAAGGGTTGTCACAAGAGTTAAATTCACTAAAACTCATGGCCAGGCATGGTGGCTTACACCTGTAATCCCAGCACTTTGGGAGGCTGAGGCAGGGACATCACTCGAGTGAGCCCAGTTAGAGATCAGCGTGACCAACACAAGGAGAACCCATATCTAATATAAGTAAAATAATTTTTTAAAACCTACATGTACAGTGCTTGGCACATAGGAAGTGCTTAATAAATGCTATCTCTCCTTATCAATAGTACTTTTTTGGTGTTGCTGCATTTCCTTTAATTTTCTGAATCACTCTGTTTGTCCTGAGCTGCTATTGTTCAAAGCCAAGAGTCTTGGTCAGGATCAGAGTAACTTATCACCCCAAGCCCACAGGACCTCTCTCTCCTTCCTGCCTCCTACCTTTTCCATTGGTAGGTGTCATGAGCGTTAAGTTGTTCAGGGGTTTGCGGCATGGAGTATTACTAGGAAACAGGCCTCCTGTGTTCCCAGATCCTTGGAATGAAGAAAGGAGAGGGACAGAAAAAATCCTTCTCCTTGCCGTCCTGAAATAATGTCCACAGAGATGGCGATGTGCCAGCTTTCAGGGTCACCTTGGATGAGCTCCGTTTGTGATTGACACCGGGAGCTGCCTTCCCACATGTCACTGTGGATCTTTATGAAGCAGCAGTCTGGGTACCCAAAGCTCACTGGCTCACATCGAGTTATGTGGGTGAGACACTGAGGTTCTGTACAGATTCAGGACTTCCAGATCAAAGCAACCAGTGGTCTCTCCTGATGTCCCTTTCCTCACCTGCCCCACCTTGCCTTTCAGAGATTTGGATGGCAAGTCACACAAACCTCTGCCCCTCGGCGTGGAGAACGACCGAGTCTTCAATGACCTATGGGGGAAGGGCAATGTGCCTGTCGTCCTCAACAACCCATATTCAGAGAAGGAGCAGGTAAGTGCTTGATGCCAACCTGGTACCACCCCGCCTTCTCAACCCCTCCCTGGTGAGACGAGGGGAGGGAAGCTAAATCCTAAACTATGTCGTGATGGAAAGCAGCCGCTGTGGGTGGAGAACTTGGGAGGCCAGGGGTGCTTATCCTTGGATGTGGACCTCGACTTTGTTTTTGGGTGGTTTGGTATTGTTGGTGAGCTTGCCATTTTTTGCATTTTAATTATGTTTCTGCCAGGAAAGGCATTCTTCTAGTTCCCAATTTAAAAGATGTAAAAGATACATGGTAGCTGGGCACAGTGGCTCATGCCTGTAACCCTAGCATTTTGGGAAGCCAAGGCAGGAGGATAGCTTGAGGTCCAGAGTTCAAGACCATCCTGGCCAACATGGCGAAACTCCATCTCTACTAAAAATACAAAAATTAGCCTGGTGTGGTGGCACACACCTGTAATCCCAGCTACTCAGGAGGCTGAGGCAGGAGAATCTCTTGAGCTCGGGAGGCGGAGGTTGCAGTGAGCCAAGATCATACCACTGCCCTCCAGCCTGGGCTACATAGCAAGACCCTATCTCTATAAAAAAAATTAATTGGTGGAGCATAATGGCATATACCTGTAGTTCCTAGCTACTCAGGCAACTGAGGCAGGAGGATCACTTGAGGACAGGAATTCAAGCCTGCAGTGAGCTGTGATATAGCACTTTTGCACTCTAGCCTGGGTGACAGAGTGAGACCCTGTTTCTAAAAAAAAATTTGAAATAAATAAACAAAAAGATACATGATGAAAAGCTCTGTTTCTAATCCTAGCCACATAGTTTTCCTCCCCAGAGTCAAGCAATATTAAAGGTTTTTGTGTATTCTTTTAGCCATGTTTTATGCATTGACAGACAAATACATATCATCCTTGACATATTTTTACACAAATAAGAGCACATGACACATGCTTTTCACTTTTTTTTTTTACTTTAGGTGCATACTATATCTGGCATTTCTCCCCATATTATCCCTCCCCACTCTCCCCACCACCCCCAACTGCCTCCAGTGTGTGATGCTCCTCTCCATGAGTCCACATGTTCTCATTGTTCAACACCCACCTATAAGTGAGAACATGCAGTGTTTGGCTTTCTGTTCTTGTGTCAGTTTGCTGAAAATGATGGTTTCCAGATTCATCCAAGTCCCTACAAAGGGCATAAACTCATCCTTTTTTATGGCTGCATAGTATTCCATGGTGTGTATGTACCATATTTTCTTTGTCCAGTCTATCATTGATGGGCATTTGGGTTGGTTCCAGGTCTTTGCTATTGTACACAGGGCTGCAGTGAACATACGTGTGCATGTGTCTTTATAGTAGAATGATTTATGGTTCTTTGGATATATACCCAGTAATGGGATTGCTGGGTCAAATGGAATTTCTATTTCTAGATCCTTGAGAAATCGCCACACTGTCTTCGACAATGCTTGAACTAATTTATACGCCCACCAACTGTGTAAGAGTGTTCCTATTTCTCCACATCCTCTCCAGCATCTGTTGTCTCCAGATTTTTTAATGATCGCCATTCTAACTGGCGTGAGATGGTATATCAATGTGGTTTTGATTTGCATTTCTCTAATGACCAGTGATGATGAGCATTTTTTCATATGTTTGTTGGCCTCATATATATCTTCTTTTGTAAATTGTCTGTTCATATCCTTCACCCACTTTTGAATGGGGTTGTTTGTTTTTTTCTTGTTTATCTGTTTTAGTTCTTTGTAGAGTCTGGATATTAGCCCTTTGTCAGATGGGTAGATTGCAAAAATTTTTTCCCATTCTGTTGGTTGTTGATTCACTCTAATGATGGTTTCTTTTGCTGTTTTGATTACTGTAGCCTTGCAGTATAGTTTGAAGTCCAGCAGTGTGATGCCTCCAGCTTTGTTTTTTGTTTTCTTTTGTTTTGTTTTTTTTTTGCTTAAGATTGTCTTGGCTATGCAGGCTCTCTTGTGATTCTATATGAAGTTTAAAGTGGTTTTTTCCAGTTCTGTGAAGAAGGTCATTGGTAGCTTGATGGGGATAGCGTTGAATCTATAGATTACTTTGGGCAGTATGGCCATTTTTACGATATTAATTCTTCCTAGCCATGAGCATGGAATATTTTTCCATCTGTTTGTGTCCTCTCTTATTTTGTTGAGCAGTGGTTTTTAATTCTCCTTGAAGAGGTACTTTACATCCTTTGTTACTTGAATTCCTAGGTATTTTATTCTCTTTGTAGCAATTGTGAATGGGAGTTCGCTCTTGATTTGGCTCTCTGTTTGTCTGTTATTGGTATATAGGAATGCTTGTGATTTCTGCACATTGATTTTTGTATCCTGAGACTTTGCTGAAGTTGCTTATCAGTTTGAGAAGATTTTGAGCTGAAACGATGGGGTCTTCTATATATAAAACCATGTCAGCTGCAAATAGAGACAGTTTGACTTCCTCCTTTCCTAATTGAATACCCTTTATTTCTTTTTCTTGCCTGATTGCTCTGGCTAGAACTTCCAATCCTTGTCTAGTGCCTGATTTCAAAGGGAATTCTTCCAGCTTTTGCCCATGATGATGATATTGGCTGTAGGTGTGTCATATATAGCTTTTATCATTTTATGATACATTCTGTTGATACCTAGTTTATTGAGAGTTTTTAGCATGAAGGGCTGTTGAATTTTGTCAAAGGACTTCTCTGCATCTATTGAGATAATCATGTGGTTTTTGTCTTTGGTTCCATTTATGTGATGGATTACATTTATGGATTTGTGTATGTTGAACCAGCCTTGCATCCCCAGGATGAATCCTACTTGATTGCGATGGATAAGCTTCTTGATGTGCTGTTGCAATCTGTTTGCCAGTATTTTATTGAAGATTTTTACGTCAATGTTCATCATGGATATTGGCCTGAAGTTTTCTTTTCTTGCTGAGTCTCTGCCTGGTTTTGCTATCAGGATGATATTGGTCTCATAAAATTAGTTAGGGAGGATTCCCTTCTTTTATATTGTTTGATACAGTTTCAGAAGGAATGGAACCAGCTCCTCTTTGTATGTCTGGTAGAATTCGGCTGTGATCCTATGTGGACCTGGACTTTTTTTGGTTGGTAGGCTATTAATTGCTGCCTCTAGTTCAGCCCTTGTTATTGGTCTATTCAGGGTTTCAACTTCCTCCTGGTTTAGTCTTGGGAGAGTGCAAGTGTCTAGGAATTTATCCATTTCTTCTTGGTTTACTGGTTTACGTGCATAGAGCTGTTTGTAGTAATCTCTGATGGTAGTTTGTGTTTCTATGGGATCAGTGGTGATATCCCCTTTATCGTTTTTTATTGCATCTATTTGATTCTTCTCCCTTTTCATTTTTATTAATCTGGCTAGTGGCCTATTTTGTTGATCTTTTCAAAAAACAAGCTCCTGGATTTATTGATTTTTGAAGGGTTTTTTTGTGTGTCTCTATCTCCTTCAGTTCTGCTCTGATCTTAGCTATTTCTTGTCTTCTGCTAGCTTTTGAGTTTTTTTGATCTTCCTCCTCTAGCTCTTTCAATGTTGATGATAGGGTGTCAATTTTAGATCTTTCCTTGTTTCTCATGTGGGCATTTATTGCTATAAATTTCCCTCTCAACACTGCTTTAGAGTTGTCCCAGAGATTCTGGTAAGTTGTGTCTTTATTCTGATTAGTTTCAAAGAACATCTTTATTTCTGCCTTCATTTCATTGTTTATCCAGTCGACACTCAGAAACAAGTTGTTCAGTTTCCAAGTGGTTGTGCAGATTTGAGTGTGTTTCTTAATCCTGAGTTCTAGTCTGATTGCGCTGTGGTCTGACAGACTGTTTGTTATTTTGTTCTTTTGCATTTGCTGAGGAATGATTTGCTTCCAATGATGTGGTCAGTTTTAGAGTAAGTGCAATGTGGTGCTGAGGAAAATGTATATTACATGGATATGGGGTGGAGTGTTCTGTATATGTCTATTAGGTCCGCCTGGTCCAGCTCTGCATTCAAGTCCTGGATGTCGTTGTTAATTTTCTGTCTCGTTGATCTGTCTAATATTGACAGTGGAGTATTGAAGTCTCCTGCTATTATTGTATGGGAGTCTAAATCTCATTTTAGGTTGTTAAGAACTTGCTTTATGTATCTGGGTGCTCCTGTGTTGGGTGTGTATATATTTAGGATAGTTTGCTCTTCTTGTTAGATTGATCCTTTGACCATTATGCAGTGTCCTTCTTTCTCTCTTTCGGTCTTTGGTTTGAAGTGCATTTTATTAGAGATTAGGATTGCAACCCCTGCTTTTTTTGTTGTTGTTCTCCATTTGCTTGGTAAATCTTCTTCCATCCCTTTATTTTGAGTCTATGTGTGTCTTTGTATGTGAGATGGGTTTCTGAATACAGCACACTGATGGGTCGTGACTTTTTATCCAGTTGCCAGTCTGTGTCTTTTGATTGGGTTGTTTAGGCCATTTACATTCAATGTTAATATGGTTACATGTGAATTTGATCCTGCTATTTTGTTACTGGCTGGTTTTCTTTCCCGTTGGTTGACTCATTTTCTTTATTTCATTTTTGGTCTTTGCCAACAGGTTTGCTTTTGCAGTGACTGTACTTGTTCCTTTCTGTGCTTAGTGTTTCTTTCAGGAGCTCTTGTAGGGCAGGTCTGGTGGTGACAAAATCTCTCAGTAATTGCTTGTCCATAAAGGATTTTATTTCTCCTTCACTTACGAAGCTTAGTTTGGCTGGATATGAAATTCTGGGTTGAAAGTTTTTTCTTTAAGGATGTTGAATATTGGCCTCCACTCTCTTCTGGCTTGTAGGGTTTCTGCCGAGAGACCCACTGTGAGTCTGATTGGCTTCCCTCTGTGAGTGACCTGACCTTTCTTTCTGGCTGCCCTTAGCATTTTTTTCTTTCATTTCAACCCTGGTGAATCTGACAATTATATGTCTTGAGGTTGCTCTTCTTGAGGAATATTTTTGTGGAGTTCTCTGTATTTTTTGAATTTGAATGTTGGACTGCCTTGCTAGGTTTG